ACTATTATAGTTGAAAGTGATGTGGGAATACCAGTCCAGGCAAATGGAGAAATGTCTTATGGAAAGTTAATTTGTTCAGTTAATTTGTTCAAATATTTCAGTTAAAATCACAGCGCTACACCAATGGCACAGCAGTTATTCCTGAGCATGCCCAGCTTGGGTATCTGCACAACTGGATGTTATGAAGGGACTACAGGCCTGGAAAGCTAGCATAGTGTTTAAAAGCTGTAAACACTGAACTGTTGTGGCATGTTCTTTTCTGCCAATCCTCTAATACTCCATTCTGTGATCTTACAAGAAGTAAAATTAGTTTTGCCTAGTAAGATATTTTATACTTGCCAAGCACTTGAGAAGCACTGCCACAAATTAGTATCAGCCAAAATTTTTTTTTTTTTTAAAAAGCAAAAGCAATCAAGAACTTTGAGATGGCCACTGTAGACATTTAACTTGCGTGGCTTTCATGAGAACGAAAAAAGAGATGCAGAGAAAGTGAGATAAAGTTAATACCTCAGAAGAACAGTTGAAGCTTACTTGAATGACAGGATAACTTTGTACTAAGGATAACTTAGTAATGACAGGATAACTTTGTAATAAGTAGTTGTTAGTAAGGTATCCTTTCAGTTGACTGTAGTTAAGGGAGATGGGAGAGTCACGGTCAAGAACAACAAAAGGTTCCAACTTACTTTTTTTTTTTTTTTTGAAAAAATAAAAAATAATGTGCTGATTTAAATTTCATCTCCTTTTCCTTAGTCTGTCCATGTGAATGTGCTGTGTGGAAGAGTAAAAGGGTCCAAGTAAATGTGTTCCAGTGATTCCAATAGGTATTCCAAATTAATTGCTGCTTGTACATTTAACACGTGTTATACTGGGCTTCCAGGATCACCTTAATTAGAACTCCTCTTATTTTAAAAAGGCAGGGGAAAGGGAGAAATTAGTAACTAGGTGCATAGATTTGTTTGTAACAGGAAAGAAAGGTTCTCTAGTATCTCCTTTGTATACCTGAAATGTGAGGTATTTGGTGGTATGTTAGCAATTGGTGGTCCTCTTGCATAGGTTAAAGGCAGTACATGCAAATAGAGCCAAGTCCCTTTAAGGTTAAATCCTTATTCTAATGGTTCAAATTCCTTCTATTTAATGTTATGTAAGACATTGTTTCAATATCCGCCCTACTTGTAGAGTTGAAATACTTCCTTACAATATTCTAATACAAAGATAGCTAGGATACCTATGTCCTTGAGTTCCCAAAATCTTTCTGTATTAAATGCACAAATACTTTTTGTTAGCTTATAATAACTTGGAAAATGATCTTTTTGGAGAATGAAGTGATGTAAATTTACATCAAAGTACAAAAAGATCAAGAAGTGAAATTTAAGACAAGGACTTTGATTATGCTAGTCCAGAGCATGTACTTTCTTGTTGCCCTGAAATTATTTAAAGACTTAATAAGAAGCTTAGAAGAAATTAGTTTTTCCCACTACATACTTGAGAATAATGTATTTTGGTGAAGTGAGAGGACTTGGCTGCTGTACTGACTGAAAATATAACTACCAGGGTTTCCACAGTGAAATACAGTTCTACTCTGTCAAATAAAAGCAATCTCTAAAGACTTGAAGAGCAGACAACTTAGAGTAAAAGGTAAAAACTCAAAGCCATTTCTGTTCATTGAGAAAAAACAAACTAGAAAGATGTTTTTAAAGCAAACTTAGAATTTAGATAGTAGAACACGTTTCATTTCACGTGACTAGTCCTTGTGGTCTGAGGGGGAAGACGTTTTTATGAAAACCCTTTAAGAAACCAGTATATGCAAATTTGAATCCCTTAAGGGTAGGCCATATATAATAGGTGTTTTACAACTTACAGAACTTAGTAAAAGTTATTCCTAGAAAAGAGTAGAAAAGATAGCTGCCTGTTAAGTCCATGTGAACATTTAGTGAACAATAGAAATTTTAATTTAGTACTTATAGTCACTGGTAGCTTTCTCAAGATAAAGATACTTGGAAAAAGTCATCTTTTAATCTCCAGAAAATAAAGAGTGGTTGAAAAGACTCAAATGTTTGCAACACTGATCAGTAGTGCTCACATTATGAACTTTAAAATGTAATACTTTATTAAAAAACTAAGCTTTTTTGTCCCTAAAGCTTGTCTTAAAAGAAAATTTAAATATGGAACTTAATGCACAAAAACAACATGTGTAAGATACCAGTATTTGGGTGGTAGAGGATATTACATATTATTACTGACCTGATTTTATGACCAATGGACCGTATTTTAAGATGCTTCCCAAAGATATTTTATTCTAGAGTACTATTAAAAACTAGTTAAAGCAATCAGTAATTTTTCTACTTTACTCATTAAGGTATTCTGCTTTCCCAAAGTAGTTTACGTTAACATCACTTTTAAAGGGGTGTCTTAATCCCCATCCACCACAGATTTTTACCTAGGAATAGAAGGATTCAAACCCTATTTGATCCCTAGCTTTTTGCTGAAAAGTGCATAAACAGGAATCCTGAATTTATTATATAGACCTCCTCGCATTATAAAATCGAAGCAAAGGGAAACCAGCGATGGAGTAGAGGTACGTAGACTGAAGAGATGCTTGCAAATTAAATAATGGTATTAGGGATAGTCAGATTTCTTGTTGGCAAACTTGGTCAATAGAAATCACGAGTCCAGAGAAAAGCTTAATTTTAAATTCCCTGAGGTTCTTTTACTGAGATGTAAAGCAAGTAGTCAAGGAAAAACAAAGAGGGAGGGGTGAGGGAAGGGGGGGAACTGCATAAAGCACTTAGAGGTAGTTAATTAAAGTAGGTATGATAAGCTGCAAAGTTTTAAACCTACTAATTGCCACAATTCTATTTTAATCAGCTATTTAGCTGGTACCTACCGCTATATCACCTAGTGTGAAATTTCGGATTTAATGGAATAATGAAGGAAGCAGTGCAGCTGGAGGCTTCAAGTGGGCTTGGAAGGTAGGTTACTCTTTCAGCTTAAGTTTGTAAAGTGTAAGCTTTTGGGTGAGAGGGACTAGTGAACATTTAGTAATTAAACTAACATGTGTTGACTGCTTTATACCAGACACTTGGTTGGGAATGTAAAGATAGGGTTCTTGTAGCACAAGTCAGTGACCAATGGCAGTGCCAACTACTGTTAGTGGAACATGAAACAAAGTAGTGTGAGAGCCTAAAAGGTGGTGGTGATCCTAATTCTAGAAGTTAGCAAGAGAGTGGAAGGTTATAGAGAAGGAGGTAGGAAAAGGGCATATAAGTGAAGTGAAAAAATTTGAGCAGAGGTATGAGTTCAGTTCATGGTGGGAGGTACACTGGAGGTGGGACTGGCAAAACTTCGCAGTTTGAACTTGAAGTTGGATGGCAGAGTGGAAGAAGATTGGACTGGAGGAACCAGAAGTGGAAGTGTCAAGATCAACTTGGAGGCCTTGGAGGTCTGGTAGCAATGTTTTAAGGGCCTAGAGCATGTTGAATGGTCCAATAATTCATTAATGCATTTTGTATCATTTTAATAGGTAAAGAAAAAGTGCTAATGATTTAAGTTTATGAAATGATATTTGAAAAGTAATCCAAATAAGTAATTATATTTAAACTTCTGTTTTTATCCAGGTCTCCAATTTATGCAGTCATTCTGCTGTGAAAATGAACTAACCTTGTTATTATTGAAGGCCTTGGAAATTTTTACCAGCTGAGAGATTTTTCTCTTACTCGGGGTAAGACGTAATCATAGTGTGCTAGAGCTGGAAGGGACTTGACTTATATAATCCATTTGCCTGATTTCATATGTTACATGTTATCAAACTGAAGCTGAGAACGTAAGTGGCCTGCACAGCTTGTTAAATATCGAATTTGATTAGTACTCATCAATTTCTCCACCCCACCCCAACTCATGCCTTTTAAAACGTGAGTGACTGTCACATGGAATTTTTAACATAATTGTTTAAGATCAATCTGAATAATACAGACTGCACCCAGCTCTGATTTGTGTCAGTAACGGCAGGCAGATGATCTTGCAAAAACTTCTTTCTCTTTTCTAATAACCTTCCCTTGTTAATGTCCAAGTCTTTCCTTTGGTGGCTGCCAGATGATTAGGATCAATAAAAATCTCTTAGAACATATATGCTTGACAGTGTCACTCAGGATAGGGCATTTGGTAAACCATATAGCTTGTGGACCCTAACCCTCATAATGACAGCCATAAGAAAGTGAGCATGGGAGGGAAAATGCTACCGCTCTTATGAAGTGAACCTGGAGCAGGCCCCTACCTATCCTGAAAACGGATTCAGAACAAAATAAAGTTTCAAAACATCTCTTCCTTGATCTGTGTAGCTCACCCGTGATAATCAGTAGGACCAGTAATAATGCCATAATTCTATCCACTGGTGTCTTCTTTCATACTTATCATTCCTTAACCAGAAAGGTCTCTAAGCCTGTGTTTTAAGTAATGTTGATATTTATTAAACCAAAAATGATGAATGAATGAATAAATGCTCTGGACTTAGTTGGGTGTTGGGTGCTTTTTTTAAATGGCAGCCAGTTGAATTATAAATGTCTTTACATTAATGGAACAATATGTAATTCTGCAGTATTTTCCTTTGCACCAAACAAGTTTCTGAAAATATTTTTATGTGTGCCATGTACATATTTAAGTTCTACTTAAAAATAAAAACCCTGCATACATCCCAAAAATATTTAGAGCAGCTGAAAACCACTTTTCCTTTCTGAGAGATGACTCACCTGTTGAAGTGGAAGAATAAGGGTCAAGCAATGGGTACATTTTTAAAATAAAAATTGCAGAGTGACGACCCATTAGTTTTAAGTCTGATATAACATCACTGGCTTTAGAAATCAGAAAGTATCCCCTCATTTTTAACAGGGTACAGTAATACAGTTGTGATTTTTGTTTTTAAGGCAAGTTTTAACATCGAACTGAGATTTTATTTCTTGAAACGTCAGGTGTACTTACTGCTTACTATAAGGAAACACTTTTCTAAGCATGATAAACACGAGGTTTATTTTAAGTATGAGTCCACTATGTGCTATACTGACAGTAGATACAGGGGCAGAATAAGTTTGTAAATACTCATACACATGTAAAATGACAACAACTTACACATACTTTATTTACTTGGTTGAAAGCCTTGTGGTATATAAAATGCTTTCTATAGTTGATCTCGGCTTTGTTCACACCGAAGTGAGTTGTATCTGGGTTTTCTGTGCTCAAGACTGCTCAATTGCTGCTGCTGCCGCCGCTGTTGGTTTGTTTTCTTTCAGGATCAAGGTGGGTACTTTCATATAAAATCTTGTTTTTAATTCCTTCTCTGGCAAGTCTTTCCTGGATTCTTAGCTTTGCGTAATTATACCTACAATGGAACCTAGTAAGGAGAACATGAATAAATTGATATAACATACCTGTAGAAACTAATTTGAAATTTGTAATCAAAAATTTTAAATGCTTACAGATGACTGTCAGTGGTTGTGAACACATTCTTAAGGTAGCATTTTCAGATGTTATGCCATAGGGATTGAAATGAGCATTAGGATAAGATAAAAGGTTGAGGCCTTCCTAAATGAAGTGTAAACCCTGACATGGCATTAATGCAGTGCCTAATGCCATGCATTCATCTGTTCATTTGACAAATGACACAAGATGTGTGTGTATATATACATATTTAAAAGATTAAAGGCAGTCCGGCAATATCATTTTGTAAGATAAATTTCAGTGAGGGTGGGGAATCTTAGTGGGAGATTGCTCTGAGTAGAGCATGTCCTTTGGAACTAGATAAACCTATTACAATTGTGGATCTTCTTGAATACTTAGCACACATACCAGCATCCTAAAGTCACCAAGATAAATCCTCCTATTCCAACGTCACATGATCTTCTAATTCTACCTGTCAAAAGGAAGCATAAACACTAATACACTGCACGTTATAATACTTCCTCTAGGAAAAAAACTTCAGAGAAACGTGTTTTTTATGCATAGAGAAGAGCAGATACTCACTAGTTAACAAAAAGTGTCCGAGGCCAGCCACAACAGATCCTAATGAGCCATACAATGTCGAATCCCGAGCACAGGGGATGTTTTCAACATCTAAAATTCCTAGGAGCTTAAAGGGCTACGAAAAATAAAAAAACTTAGGTTGGACAAGAGAATATTTTATTTTAGGGTGGTTTGGCAAAGATGAAAACCATCTTTAATCATCCTGCTTTGGTATATAATATGAATCTAAAATGGAAACCCTGAGAATTTGACCAGAAAGTCCTAAGTAGGTAGGGTAAATTAAACGTAAATAGATTATGGTACCATGGTTATGCTATAATTTGTTAATCAACTGGTTTGGAGATAAGGTAAGGGCATACATTATTTTATGAGCTCTTTATACATCTGTATGAAATCATTTGGGGGATTTGGCTATCATTGAAATTTAAAAGCAGCATAATTTCCTTCTAATAACCTGAGATGCATAGATGGGAAAAGTGAAATTGTCCTAACCATGTTGCTTATAATATTAGTATACTGCTGTTTTAAATTCCTTTAAGGAGGACTGCAGATTTTCTGTGTTAACTAGTAACAACACATCAGTTTTGTCTGTAAGAATAAATACTTTGTGTTGAGACAAATCTCGTCTGTTTCTTGCCTGTGATATGAAGTTGCCGTTGATTGTATTTCTTTGTTGATAGTACATGGTAACCATACCTAGGTGTGATGAAAAAAGCTGGAAATCTAGAGGGTTGGATTTTATTCTCAGCTCTGCCACTAACTTCTGTAACCTGTAGGACATATTTTTTTATCTGGCCTGCAATCTGTAATGAAGGGGTTCAGCTAGGTGATAATTTAAGTTCCTTCAAGTGCTAAAATGAATGGTTTTAAAATTCTTTATATAGTCTTCATTGGATTTATGGATTTGTTCTCCCTCATTAAAAAATACTGCCACTTTAAGCATAACATTTTCCATCTTGAATGTCTTGTCACTCTCACTCTGTACTTAGGGGTTTTGGGAGGGCAGGACAGAATTTTTTTTATAAGGCATGCTTATGTTTTGCTACAGCATTCTCCTATTCATAAAAAAAAAAGAAAACGTAAGTTACTGTTTTCAGTTAATGTAGCTTTTAAAAAGGAAGCCACTTGTCCATTCTTTGGGATGAGATATACCTAGATGGTAATATACTGTAAGGGAAAAAGAGTGGAAGAAATGGGAAAAGGACAGTAAAGGGCAAGTCAGATTAAAGGTTGAAACATGAAGGTATTGTGTTTGCCTTGGCTCAGGCTTCTGCAGGAAAGACAATGTGACTCGGTTCCTAATAAAGCAAAAGTTATACACTCTTGGATCATTATGTTCCTTTTTTTTTTTTTTTGCCTCTGTTCCCTCCCCCCCCAACATGTTTACTTTATGAACACAGCAGGTGCTCATTGAAGTTGCAGACTTGAATGTAAAAAGGCTCTTTAGTACAAATCTTCATGTACAAAGAGGTTGGGATTTAATTCTGCTTCTAGGCTTTTCATTTAATTTAGCAAAAGATTGTTTCTCACCCTCAGGTCAAGAGCCAGGTGGAATTTATGGCCCCGAGGGGAAGGAGGGTGTGATCTGTTCTGCAGCTAGGCCATTGCCCTGGGGGAAGGATGCTAAATAGACTGAGATGGGGTGGTGGTGTTTAATGTCAGATCTTAGAAGCGAGTGCGACCAGCAGCTTCTACCACGGGGTAGAATGTTAAGATGGCTTTCACATTTAAGCAGAGAGAAAGAAAGGAACTATCAAGTGTTGGCCGCAGCATGCCAAACACTGCACATCTCTGCCAAAGACAGCACTTCTTTCAAGGCTTCTGGGCTTTTTCATTTGGATTCCGTTCCAAAATGGAGCCCTAGTGTGACCCCAGGATACACCAGAATCTGCAAACTTTGCGGGGGGGGGCATTTGGATAAAATTATCAGCCCCAGTTCTTTGCCAAGTGTGTAAAATAAACTTGCTGGACATCTGAAATGGTGCTGTTTGTTTAAATCAGCTAGGTAGGTAGCTTTCTGAGCTTTTTAGAGATTTTCAAATCCCACCCTCAGATTCTGACTCAATAGGCCCCGGGCATTGATGTTTAGGAAACCGCCCACCCCCCAGACTGGAAGAAACACTGCTTTAGAGAGTTTAGAAAAGTACAATTTTGAAATTGCAGATAATGGAATAATCCAGTTTATTTTGAAAGATAAACATATCCTTTTTAAGGGGTACCTTCTAAAACCAACAATGTGGGTTAGAGGCCAAAGATGCTACTGCTAAAGGTCCTGCAATGCATGTATCACATACAAAACTGCCTTGGTCAATGTCAGCGCCAAGGTTGAGAAGCCAATGCTTGTCGAATTAATCTCATAATTTAGAGGTGCCAAGGACCTATTAGTGCCCAGCCCTTTATATCCCTTGTTTTTAATTCTCACAACCTCTTTGTGACATTTTCTCTGCAACAGGTTCAGGGTTTAAGTAGAAGGCTTTATAAGTGCTGGCAGAGTGGAAGTGAAAGTCAGTCTGACCCTGAAAGCCTGTCATTCCCACTGCAGCATTTAACCCTTTGGCTTTTTAGTAAACACTAAGGTTCACATATAGAGAGTAATAGAACTGAGTACATAACTGCAGATCTGCAGTTTGTATCAAAACTGGGTAAGGATGTACAAAGACTTTTCCCCCTTTACTAGTAGGGAATGTTCAGCCTCCTGGTAAAGTTGGAGTTTAGACTGCTGATGACTTAAAAGCAAGTATGGAATACTGTAATGAAGTCTTGAGCTTATATTTTTGAGAGTACACTGAACTTTGATTCTCAGAAATGGAAATAAAGGGTCTAAGCCTGAAGTCACTTTGAAGTTATGTTTGTAATGTTCAAGGCATTTAACATTTCTCTTTTATTCCCTAGTTGCCTGCAAACGTAACGTTCACCTGCTATTATCAAAGCCTTTAAACGTAAACTAAAATTATAGACTTTTTTCTTTTGGTAAGCTTAGATTTAGGAAGGCAGCCTTACCAACACACCTTGATGGAATTAAGGGAAGCTCAAAAAATTTCTAAGCCAGAATGCCAGTTAAATAATTTATAGGAAACAGATCACATCAAATCAGAGCTACTTCATTTCCCACTGTTAAATTTATCTGCATCAGTGCTCATATTCTGCCTTTCCTTTTGTTTCAAAGGAGGAACTGGCCCTACTCCTATTTAAAACTAGTCCTCACTTTGCAGTTTATTACTTTATCCACTCTCAAAAGACTCTGCTTCTGTGGTTATCCCATCTTTCATTTGCATTACTTGTTTTTCCTCCTTTTAATAATCTCCAGTCTAGAAACATACAAAATAAATCCCCCTCTCTTGACACCCTTTCCCCCCCAAGCCACCATCCCATTTTTCTGTTCCCTGTCACTGCAAAACTAAAGTTACCTGTGTGTGCTTCTTCACTTACAAACCTATGCTCCCTTTAACTTGCTTCAACCAGACATTTACCAACTGTACTCGACGGAAACAGCACCACTGAGGTTTTCTAAAAGACAATCGTTTTGCAAAATCCATCATACTTTACATCTCAGCACATGTGGCACAGATAATCATGTTTTTGAAACATTTTCTTTGGCTTCAAATACACTATTAATCAAAAAAGTTTTTCATGTATTTCTTTTCTGAATTCTCAATGGGTTAAACCACCCTCATGACCCTAAAATGACAGCAGTTGTCTCTATCAAAGGTGAACAACCAGATACAAAAAGGATGAAAGCCCCATTCAAGATCCCAGTGTTCTCACAAAACAATCTACAATTTTGTGTTTGTAGTTATGGTGCCCCTTGAAATATGCAAGTTTCAAACAAGGGTACATTTTGTTAAAGTAAGCATATTCCAAATAGTATGTGAGACGTTAAAAACAGAAAAGGCGCCAACAGTGTATAAATTGACAAAAATTTTTTTGAAAACAAATATGGAAACAATTTACCCAACATTTATTCATAACCATTTGATGATCTAGGCCAAATTTAGATGGAAAATTCCCCAGAGAAGCAAGAACACTGAATAAGTGATCAAAATTTTCAAGCTGAGCAGAGAATAGCCTAAAACTATAGGTGCAGTGTGGCACAGTGTGGGTCTTAAATAAATATTTGTGAATCTAATTGAGCCAACATTAATCTCTCTATGGCTTACTATTTAAAATTGTTTCTTCTTCCATTACCTTTTTTAAACACTTGTTATTTACTCTGCATTGAGGATATAAAAATTGGGTTCCCTGCTCTTAAGACACAAATTAACTTCCAATATAATGTTGTAATGATCCAGCAATGTACAAGGTGTCCGGGAGATAGGAGCAGAAGCACCTCAGTCTCTTGAGGAGTCGGGAAGCCCTTCAGGGGAGACCAGAGATAACCCTGTTTAACTTTAATACACCCGGAGAGGAAAGCATGAGAAGAGTCACACGGGTTAGTTAGGTGATGAGCTTTGTTATCACAGGCCGAGAAATTCGGATTTATCCTGAAATCAATGGGCAGCTACGACTGGTTTTAAGCAGAGAAGTAGAATTATGCATTTTACAGGGTAGCCCACAAGGACGACTGCGGAAGGTGAAGCGAGAAAGGCAGAGCAGGAAGACCTGAATGCCAGCCAGCGAAGCTATTGGTTACATATGACACTGCATACTCCACGTGGTCGAGTGAAAACAAGGTTAACGGGGGAAAAAATCTCAATCTTTTCATCACCCTCCTGCTCTGGATATAAATTCAGTCGAATATAACCAAGTTCTCATTCCCCAGCATTCACCGATTCCTGTTAAGCGTTGTGAAGTTTACAGCCTTAAAGACAAGGCACCTGTCCTCAGCTTTTAATCCCTCTCTTTGCTAGTAAATTACAATACGAGGCCCCGTCAACAAAACTTTCTTTCCAAAGGGATCAGTCTTGTGACCTGCAGTAAGCTATCGGTACCGGTCCCCTCATCCTCCTAGTTTGGGTCACTTATATCGTGACAATTAAGATAAAAATGTCGGGGGGTGGGAGGAGGGGACCTGTTCGATTGCAGAGAAGCTAATGACACATGCTCCCGGCCTGGGTCTCCCAGCTCTAGAGGCCGGGTCCTTAGGCGCCGCCCGCCCGTGCTCCGGGCGCCCCGCCGCACCCCGCCGCAGCCCGGATTACCTTCCCCTTTCCGGGCTCTCCGGCCTCCGGCGCAGCCGCCATGGGGACAGTCGGCGCCTCCACCCCGCCCCGTCGCCGCCGCTGGCCGCCGTGAGCGGACGCCCCGCCCCGCCCCGCCCCGCCCCGCCCCGCCCTGGCCAGCCCGGCCCGCGCCTGCGTTCGCGCTGTCCGCCATTTTAGGGAACGTTTCCCAGTCTCCGCGGCGGCAGCACTGGCCGAGCAGGCTGCCTTTGGTGTGGCCGCCATTTCCTTTGTTCAGTTGAACGGATCACGTCCTCTTTACCGGGGCTCTCCGCAGCCCGAGGGCCTGGACCAGGGCAGCAGGAGAAGGACTCGTGAAGCAACCGCGCACCCGGACTCTGGGCACTTCGAGGCTGCGCCTTTTCCCGCCCCCGCCCCTCCTCTCGCCCCAACCGCCATTTCTGTCGTCCGCGCGCGTGCGCTCGCTCCCGTGCGTAGGCGCTGGGCGCGCGCGGCGGGGCGGCCGGGGCCGCGCGGAGGGGGCGTGCGCGCCGCCGCCGCTTTGTCCTGGGAACGGGAGCTCCCACCCCCGCAAGCCCACGGCCCGGAAGTCGGCCCATACTGGCTTGCGGCCCGCGTCCCCTTCGTGTCCTTTGTCTTCCCGCCCGGGACGAGTCCTGGGCGACCCCGTCAGCTCCACCCAGCGCCAGCCACCGTTTCGCCCCGAGCGAAAGTGTGGTCCAGCGCTCACACCGCTTACTCCCTGCTTTGGTTTCATCAGGGAGGGGCTCGAAAATAGCGCCACTCGGTTTGCCTGAAGGAGACTGGGGACAAAATGGAGGGAGGACCTTGTCAGTGAAGACGCGTTAGGACGTTTGTGCCCGCCGTGCAGGCGGGGAAGGCAGGCGGAGTGAAGTAGAAAAAGGCCTGCGACATGCGTTTTTGAATGTTAGGTAGTGTTCCACGTATACTGCACCCTACGACTGCGACTTAGCGTGAAATCTGCATGTTGGAGACAGCAGTCGTCTGGTGTGAGATAGGGCTTGACCGCTTTCTCAGCCCTCCAAGTCAATACAATTCCTTTTCCCGTCTTTTTTTTCTATGCACCGTAAGGAAAATGTCCCTATCAAAACCATAATTATGCCTCCTTTGTTTATGTACCTTTATATTTCAAAGTATATTCCTGGGAAAATGTTCAAGCTTTAGAGTGTGTCATTGTGCAGAGTCATGCTGCTGTGCACACAGTAAGGGCGGGATAAGGTTCGCGGTGATTGTTTGCTATCAGCTGTCAGTGAGGTGTTTTCTTATTCCTTATGCTTTCATGATCATTTAATACCTTTCTACAGACCCAGTAAAACACACAATTTACGACCTACGTGTGATTTTTAAAAAAAAATAAGTGACTTTGGGGGAGATACAGCTCTAATATTAATTAGGAAGTAGAATAAATGTCACCCCGCCCACGATATCCTGCCAGTTTGGGGTTCTTGGCTGGAAATCTTGCGCTAACTATGCTTTGAACTCTTGGTCTGGAAGGTAATATTTAAGGCAGTAATATTCCATAAAGGAGTGAGGAATTCTCTTGAAGTAATTCCTAATCATGTTGTAAAGGAAGGAGAACTGGAAAGTACCAGGGCCATCCTACTTTATTTTTTATTGTGACTTTGAAGAATTGCTAGGGTAAACTTAGGGCCCATTTCATTTGTCTTTGAAAAGTATTTTCATACATTATTCTTTATATTAAAATTTTTAATTTCACAAAAATGGCATGTTTGATTATTTTTTATTTTCATATTTTATAGAGTGAAAAGTAAAAATCTTTTTCACTTTAACCCCTTTTTTCTCCCCTATTTAAAGTAAACACAACTAACAGTTTAATACGGCTCTTTCGAAACTGTTTTCTTTTTTCTCTTCTTTTTAATTAAAACAACCCTGGAATATAGGCTAAAAAGTAAAAGTCTTTTTATACCATACCTGCCTCCATATGAGTGTGTCTGTATATGACACACATATCTAAATGGCTATAGTATGTAATTTGCATTCAACGATTTACTTTTTACCATTTAACACTATGTTATGGAAAAATTTCCATGTAATTATGTAAAGATTTACTCATTTTAATGGCTGCTCAGCAATCCTTTAATCATTTTCCTTCTGATTGACCTAGAAAGTTTCATTTTTTTTCACTAGTCCAAGAAATGCTTCAATGAGCATTTTTATGCATATATCTTTGTGCACAGGTTCAAGTATTTCTGTAGGATAGATTTCTGGAAATGGCCTGATTCAAAGGGGTATGTGCATTAAAAATTTTAATACATACTGCTAAATTGCCTTCCAAAACTACTGCCAATTTACATTCCCCATTATAACAATGTATGAGAATGCTTGTTTCCTCACATTTTTAACACTGCATAATATCATATTTAAAAATTTTTGTGTATCTGATGGGTGAAAAATGGTGTCTTGATTGCTTTTAAACTTTCCTGAGTACTAGTATGGCTGAACATTCTTTCAGATGTTTATTAGTCATTCTTTTCCTAAAAATTTCCTAAAACTTTACTTACTTATTAACTTTGTTTATGGAGTCTTTCATTTTACAAACAACTTTCTATTTTGTTTTATTATATTTTTTTATGGAGTCCAGTATGTCAGTGTTTTCTTTTATGGCTTTTGATCTTGTGTCTTCCTGAGGCCTTAAGGGCTTCTTGACTCCCATAATAAAAAAAATATTTGAAAATAATTGTCATATGCTTTCTCATTAATAATTTTGATTATCTCTTTTCCTATTTCTTAAAAGACCAACTTTTGGTATTATTGACCAAGGCTATTTTTTTCTATTTCATTTTATATTTTACATTTATTTCTATTAATGTGGTATCTATTTTGTTGTCTTTTTTCTATCTTTTTGAGTCGACTACTTAAGTTCACATATTCTCCATCTTTCTTGATTTGTAGCAAATGTATTTAAGGCTGTAAAATTTCCTCTGAGAATCATTTTATCATATGTTGTCACAGATTTTTGACAGGTAATATTCCTATCACCATTCTTTTCTAAATTTTCTATAATTTCAGCTTTTCTTTCTTTTCAAGTAAATAAATTTGGATATGCTTTTGGTATTAATTTTTAGGTGTTCTGTTTTACACTGTGGCCCATGTATTCTACTCTTGGGGAATTATTTTATTTGTGTGTGTGTGTGTGTGTGTGTGTACTACCTAAGAGATCATTTTGTACATGTTCCATATGCTTTTGAAAAGAATGCATTCTCTATATTAGCATTGTTAAGCTTATTCATTATAGTAGTATATTGTATACATTATAAATATATAAAATATATAACTATATGATAATCACATAAATTAAGTTTAATTGCCATTCAGCTGTCTTTTTGCATGGTAAGAGTTGTTTCATTGCAAGCAACAGACTGACTGTAGTTAGCTTAAAGAAGAAAGAAATTTATTGGGAAGACGTGGAGAAGCTCAATGAACTGATAAAGAGTTTAAGAGCCAGGTCTTTAAAAGGACAACATCCAGGACAGTCCCAGGGGTCTTGATAGCAAGAACTAAAGGAGTGGCTTTCCAGGATGACAGTGATGGCCTGTTCAGTCTTATTTCTACTATCGTGCTTTGCTTTTCAACCATGCTGTCTGCTGCAAGACTCCCTGTTTGTCTGGTATTGGATGCAGATGCCCTGAATGAGTGGGTAGTTTAGCACAGTGGGTTGAGTTGGGGCCAGAAAATCTCTTCTTTAAGAGCTCCTTCTCTCACGGTGGCTGTAAATCCCCTGGCACACGGCCTAGAGTGCCTGCTTTCATCCTCTCATCTGGGAGAGAGTGTGGTGTCAGTAATCCCACGCTAGAAAGCTAATAGTTATCTGTAGGCAGCAGGATGGTGAGGGGTGAAATGGTTGTATGGTTCTGGGGATTTGGTGGGGCTGTGCTGGCAAACCCGCTTTTCGAGGTTCTTTCTTAAGCTTGTGTGGGGTTGTTTTTTAATCAGGAATATTGTGTTTAATAATCAGTCTGATTGCATCTTCTCTGTATCGTTCAGAAGTTCCTAACTGTCCTGGTCTGCTGCTGGTACATTATCCTGTCTTTCCAGCAGAAGTATCAATTTATTTTTATTTTTATATTCCTTTTCTCATTTCGATAGGTTTTGGAGTAAAGGGTGATAAAAAATTGGGTTCAATCAGCCCTCTGTAACCAGAAGTCTGAATTTTCCTGCTCTTCTTTCCTATTCGTGTGTGTCCTGTGTCCATGCGGGTGTGCACATGAGCATGTGTTTAAGTCTAATGGTACTATACGACTTGTAAAGAAAACCAGCTGTTTTCCACCACACTTCTCTTTGTTCTGAAGTTCTGCACCCCACAGGCAATGACTTTTATCTCTTTTGGCCCATTCTTCTGGTAGTTTACTTTCATATTTCTAAGTAAAATGCTCATTCTCCTATTTCTTAATTTTTCAATTTTAGGCATTATCTATTGATAATGAAAATTTATCTCTTTTCTACTCCTTTCCCTTCCCCTCATCCTCTCAGTATGGTTGTGTCACATTTTAAGAAGCTAAATACGCATTCAGCATGTACATTATTATGGCAGTGTAAATGGTCATAGCTGAGCCGTGTGGGGTACTATGATTTCATTTCTTTTCTTGTAAAATTTAAAATTTTTCCTGGAGTTAATAATTTGCTAAATTTTGTTAAAGCTAGCTCTTATTGACTCTTCCTTCCTTCCTTTTCTTTTTTTTTCTTTTCTTTTCCTTTTCCATAAGAGATTATCTAAATTTTAGCATATAATACTCATTTGGCTCATGGGACATTTGGCTGTTGGGACAAATGAGTATTACATGCTCTTTTTTTCCCCCTTACTAGCTCTAAAGAGCCAATTGTAGACATCTCTTGCCAACTCTGTGTTCAATGACTTTATCCTGGTAACTTAAATTTGGCTATGGTGGAGGTATTTATGCCATAGAAGTCAACAAATGCTACAAGTCAGTGCTTCTTTCTTTTTTTTTTTTTTTCCTTTTCAAACAGGTGGTTTACCAATATACCACTGAATGCACCTGTCATTGATTTTTCTCTCAAAATTCTCCTACAGAGTCATAAAAC